TGAACTATCAATTCCCTTTCTATACAAGAGTATTATTTTGTAATATATATGTTAATCCATTTTAATCGTATATTAAATTCTTTGAGTCCATTTAATATGACCGATAAAAAAGGGTAAAACGAATGTTTATTATAAACGGTTTTAAATGAAATACTTTTCGTCTATCAATAATAGAATGTTCAACGATATCAAAAGTAATAGTGTTTTTTTTTGCTTCTTCTTCTTTTTTTTTTTTTCAATATATAGTTCAGCTTTTTCACGAGTTGACAGATGTTATCACGAGAAATACGTAAATTATTCTGAACGTTTTAGAGCGAAAATTCTTTATCAGCATAATCCTATATCCGTTCAAATTTGTTGGAAATAATAACAATAATAATAATAATAATAATAATAATAATAATAATAATAATAATAATAATAATAATAATAATAAAGTTTATGTACGAAGTGTGTCCCGATTATAAAGACATTGGACAGATCTAACTGCATCGTTATATAGGATAGATCACACATCTCGGTCCATTCACGCTGGTCGAGCATTCATACGGGTTATGCACGGAGTAACGGAGACGGTCCGGGGACGATAGTGGATTTAAATTGAAATGGAAATAGCCGGTTTGCGCTTTCCTGACCCGCCATTTCAGATTTTTCGTCCAGCCGGTGCAGCCGCGAAATCATTCCGATTCTTCGTAAGCGGAAACGCCGGTGGATCTATCCTGACGACCGACCCCGAGGAACAATGCTCGGATTGCCCGGGCAGTAGCAAACGGATGGAAGGGAGTGAGTTAGGGGAGGATTGAGGTGCAGGCGATGAGGGTTGGGATGGAGTGGAGGGTGGCGGGATGAGTTGCTGACTGGGAAGAGGAGGAGAAGAGGGGTGACGGCTTTGGGAAGCTTAGGAGAGCAGCGGCCATTGTTCTCCTATCGCCCAATTATTTTCTCGTCGCGAACCTACATACGTGTGTTCGTCTATGGATAGATAGATATGATAGATAGAACGATAGATACATATATATATATATATATATATATATATATGTTTGTATATATAGATATAGAAAGATAAACGATGAAATAGTTCCATAGATTGAAAGATTTATTTCTTCAATAGGACGACTCGATCGATTCTCAACAGGTGTTAATGGGATTTAAATTAACGTCAAATTGTAGAGTTTGTATTGTTTCATAAAACACAAAATTTCTACGATATTTATAATCTATTTGCAGAGATATTAATTATTCGACAATTCGTTAATTGATTTTGGAATTAATTTGAATGTTTTTTGAGTTAAATGAATTGTTATGGTTTTGTGGTAAGTAACATATGTAATCAAACATATGATACACATATGTATATATATATATATATATATATATATATATATATATATATATGTATGTTATATTCGTCGAATGATTTATACATATATATATATATATATATATATATTTTTTTTTTTTTCTATAATTTACAAGTATACTTGGTTTCCTAGAAAAGATAAAAAAATGGATAAAAATCTTTAAAATCCTACGGTTTGATAAAAGAATAGGATGAATGGTGTATATATATATTTTAGTAGATAACTATAATATATAATCCTAATTATCTCAAGCATAGATATCGCTTTTCTTTTCAATGGATATTACCTTCAGAGAAAAATTGAGAGAAAAAAAAAAAATATATATATATATATATATATATATATATATATAAAGCATTCGATGAACATAACGTCATTGCCGAAGCGAGAGAAGGAATTATCGTTAAATAAGATGGCGTGTATAGCAGAATAAAGAAGAAGAGGATAGAAAAAGAAGGAAGAAAAAGAGGTTCTTCACTTTCATTTTTCATGATGGCGGAGAAGAGGTTCGTTCTATTTTATTCGCGAGACGCAACGCGTTTTTATTTTTACAAGGTGGATCTTTTTCCGCGCTCATTAAGCCGTACTCGTCCTTAATTAGCTCCGTAAAGAAAATCAGCGGGTGGAAACTGCTCGAGAATGCTTGCGGTAGTCATAAAGAAAGACCATATTGAGATTTTCTCACAGTGAAAACGTGAAAGGAATAATTTATGTACCGAAATACTGTTGCGGAATCTAATAAAGAAATTTATTTTTAAATAATGCGCGAAGGGTTCGTTACATTACAATCGTAAAACGTAAGATTCTTTTCTTTCTTCTTCTTCTTCTTCTTCTTTTTTATTTTTTAACGATATCAAATCATTTCCACATAAAATTTTGTTTTTCTAAGAAAATCTTTGCCGTTGGCGTGCGACGATATGATGTTTATCACGTTTACGGTACGCAGTTAATGGTTTTCACTTCATTTTTACGATTCTTGAAGATGGAGTGTAGAAGGATAACGATGTCCCCTTGATATATGAAATATGTTCAACGTTATGTTCAAATTTGACAAATAAGAGAGAAAACATCAGAGAATTAAGCTGCTGTATTTTTTTTTATTATCTTTCTTTTTTTTTCTAGAAATTTGCGATTTGCAATTTTACTGAGTATAATTTTAGACCAGATACAAAAAATTATGTAAGAAAAGTAAAAAAGGGACAGAGAGAGAGAGAGAGAGAGAGAGAGAGAGAGAAAGAGAGAGAGAAAGAATAAGATTAAAAAATCATAGGAAGTGTGATGTGTGAGTGAGAAGGATTGAAACGTCATTCGTCTTTCGTCTAACGTAAAAGTAAGAAAAAACTTTAATGGAATTTAGAAATTTGGTCGATTCTCTCCGATCGTCTGATGCAGAAAAGAGGTGGGTGAAGTTGCAATGAATAATATCGTCGCATGGTCGACGATGCATCTAGAAAACTTGTATCATCGTCATTGGAATTCCTTTGACGTGGAAATTCGTCTACAATTTGTATCCTAGTCTCGCTCTTGCGAATGAAAAATGATGGAGGCTCGAGTGTAGTTCACAAGAGGAACACAGAAAGAGAGAGAGAGAGAGAGAGAGAGAGGGAGAGAGAGATAAAAAGAGAGAGAGAGAGAGAGAAAGAGAGATAGAAAATTATAAAATTTTTTTCTAGGAGAGGTACCCCAATGATGGAAAAAGAAAGTACACACTTAAATGGATGCAAAATGTAAAATTAAATTAATGGGGAGACCACGAAGATTGAATAATATTTATATTAGTGAGATAAGGTAAGATGACGAGAATAAGAGTAAGCAGGGTGGGATCAAAGTGAGATATTATGTTGTTGAACGAAAGTAAAGTGATGGTAATAAGTATGATAAATAAAATACGAATAAAAAATAAGTGAAATGAGAAATATATCGAAATGAGAAATTTATTTCTATCTGAGAAATGAAAGAAGAAAGAAAGATACTTCTCTTTCTCTCTTACTTACGCTCTTCTTTCTCTTTTTTTTTTTTGTTTTTTTTTTTTGTGTTTTTCTTTTGCTTCGTTTTGTAGTTTCCAAATTATTTAGATAGCTCGGAAAGGAAAAAAAAAGAAAAGAAAAAACTTTGCTCATTGTTCGTTAGAGAAAACAAACTGGGGGGAGGGGGACCCCAGTTTATGCATACTTTTCTGTGTCTTTTCGTGTTGAGAGAAAGAGAGAGACAGAATGAGAGAGAGAGAGAGAGAGAGAGAGAGAGAGAGAGGGAGAGAAAGAAAAAGACAGAGTGCGTGTATATCTAAATACATGGATATTCTCGGCAACGAGAGAAACTAATGCGTAACTACGAATATGCACGCGTCGTATATTATCGCACGGCAGAATGTACGCGATTCTGTCTCGTGCGCGTCCATGAATCACCTACCTATGGTTAGAACGTTATACTAGTTCAGCGAGTAGCAGAGACGAGCGAGTTGTACTACTTGTACTAACCACGTGTGTGCCGACGTTATGAAACGCTTCCACAGTAATCCCTTTCGGTAACACGTATTGTGGTTCTTATGAACGTTTTGCAAGTTTATACGTTCTGTCATTGTTACATTAACTTTTTTTTCTTTTTCTTTTCTTTTTTTTTTTTTTTATTCAACGATCATATGAACTTAAAGGAAACGATGTTAGCATATGCAACGTATATGCGCATAATGAAAATAAATTTTAGAAATATATTTCAATGTTACATGTAATTGCGGTGGAAATAAAAGAAATGAAAAAGAAATGAAAAAGAAATTAACGGAAGAAGAAATGTAAAGGAGGGAAGATTTTTTTTTTTCTCTTTGAAAGTATCTCTTTTTCTATTTTGTCAAAAAATTCATACCGAGTGAGCGATTTAATATAGATACGAATTAATTTGGTAGTTTTTTTTTTTTTTTTTTTTAATCAAACAATTACGTATTTAATATGTTTAATATTATACAGTTCAAAAAAGAAAGAGAGAGAGAGAGAGAGATAAGATAAACAAAAAAACATTTGTCCCGGTCAGTTTGAAATCATACGTTTTTCTCTCAGCGCTAAATTTATCGTTTCCAATGACGAAATTGAAATAGCTCCGAAAAAAATGTTCCGATAACGGGAAACTACCCTCGAGGCTGCGAATTTTACGAGAAATCGCTTAATTAATTGAAAAGCTTCGCGTTGTAAATTCTGCGATAACCGGAAACTTCGTTGAAAAATTACGTTCCGTGGATAGACAATAACGATCATTGTGTACGGCGCGAGTTGCACGTTTCGTTTTTCTACGTGTGTATGTTTTATTGTTCGACGACCCCTAGTATTGAAAAAATTTCGTCATGGTAAATAAAAGTTCGTCCGTGTTAATTGCATTCGAATTGCGAACAACTTCGACGTATACCTATCGACGTATGCAAAATTATCACAATGCATACACTAGTCCTGAGAGAAAAGTTGTCCACTTTTTTCTTCATTCATTCATTTAATATTATTTCTAAATAACATTATTAGCTTAATGAAAAGCTTAAAGTCTATCAATCACGAAATTTCGAATATATTATTATTTTTAATAAAAAAAAAAAAAAAAAAAAAAAAAAAAAATAAAAAACAGATGAAATGAAATTAAATTTTATAATCCACTTACCTGTGGATAATCGCCGTCCTTCATCTGATAATCGAAAACGTAAAAGAACGTTTTTGGCATTGGTTCCTTCTCGATCTCGGGCGATGGCGCGATGTGAGGATTATTTGGCTTTTTCGTGTGCCTCAGAGTGAAAAGATCACCAGTTTGAACGAGCGGTGCTACGAATTGCGCGTCGCTCAATGCCTGGACACAGGCGTCCTTTGTATTCACCGGATGCTGTACCGTCCGTTCCCAATCGGAATATTCGTTGACGACCTAGAAAAATTGATAATTTACGAAATGAACGAATCATCGAGAGAGCAATGAAAACTACAGTATACACATACGTATATATATGTATATATATATACGTATAAATATATATATATTTACATATATATTGAACTGTTAACTCTTTCTCATTTAATTAAACAATAATTAAACAGTAAGAAAAATTCATTTTGCTGTTCACTTTGAAAATACTTTTAATTGTAAAAACGTTACAATTATAAGTTCGTAACATGTGATATGACAAATTAAAAAAAAAAAAAAAAAGAAAAAAAAAAGAAAAAGAAAAGAAAAGAAAAGAAAAGAAAGAAAGAAAGAAAATAGAAGAACAAATAAACGAACGAACGAATGAACAAACAAACAAACAAACAAACAAACAAAAAATAAAAATAAATGACTGTCAAGATATAAAATCAGTCACGTTACGTGGATGTAGATATTTTTTTGCATTATTTTTCAGCTTATCTCCATCGAGATCGATCGATCATTGAACGTTCGTAGATAACGGAACAACGTATAGATATCTAAATATTTATTACGACCAAGAGACGTACCGTAACTCGTGATACGAAAATAATTTGTGAATTATGATGCCGCTGCGGAGAGTACGCGAGGGGGTTGGACGATTTTTACAATTCGTATACTGATGCCTTTCCTGTGTGAACGTTTTGTGCAATGGTTATCGTTTCGCCCGCCGGCGATCCCGTTATTTTCATTTTATCGAGTAGAGAGAACGTCCGGAGAGGATACAAGAGATAAGTAATTAAAGGTTAATGCAATTGTAAAATAAGCATTGTCCAGCGGAACAACGACCCTTCTGTATATTTCCTTCGATTCTTTTCTTTTTTTCTTCTTCTTTTTTTTTTTTTTCTTATTTTCTTTTCTTTTTATTCTGTTTTTTTTTTTTATTTTCTTTTTTATTGAAAAATTCTCCGATAACATTGAGATATTATATTAACTTGACTAGAAGTAGCAACGTTTCCTTCGATTGCGTAAAATTGAATAAACGAATCTCGTGAAAAAAAAAAAGAAATAAAAAAGAAATTATTCGACGAGGTTTCGACATTGTATTGTCGGGAGTTAAATTTTAGAAAGATAAGAATAAAAAGATAGATTTATTTGTTTCATAATTCGAGGGATGCGGATCAATATCATCAACTTCAATTATGATTAAAATAAAATTGACGTGAATAATGAATTTCGAAGTACAAAAGAAATTTTAATACGTGCGAATAATATAATGTTTAAGTTAATAAATTAATATCTAATATTATAAAAAAAAGAAAAAAAAATGTGGAAGTATACGGAAAAAGAGAAAGAAATTTCTAACCGTATAAAATATTTCCGTTAGATGATAGACGTAAGCATTTCTAACATAAGTTCTGATGATCCTGTCTCTCCTTTCACCCTCGAATCCTTGATGCACATCCTTTTCAGCGAATTTCCAAAGAGCCTCGCTGGTCGTGACGCCGAACAATAGGTCGTATTTATTGTTGCTCGTTATAGGTGCTCCGTGTTCAGCTTTTTTCGGGAGTGGTCTGAAAAATGTGTGTACATTTATTTATTTATTTATTTATTTATTTTTCTTTTTTTTCTTGTTTCAAACACTCATAAAAACGAGTAAGTATTGAAAATTTTAACAATGTAATGCAATATTGAAATACCGAAATATTTTATTACAATAGTTATTAATGAATGAACTGCATATGCATTGCGTTTGAATAATTTCAATTATAATCAATGTTCTTTTTTAATTTTTAATAATCTCTATTTCAATGAATAAAGAACTCGAACATTTAGATTTTATTATGGATGAGATCGAAATTGATTAGAAAAAAAAAAAAATATTTTTAAAGAAACACAAGAAATAATTGATAATAAATGATTATCGCTGATAATCGTTGAAATTAAATCATTATACATGTAAGATATGAAGAAAGATTCGTTCGATCGATATTAAATTAAATTAATTCGTTCGATTATATAATATATGTCCGTACCCAAATCCTTGAAATTCTGGGCCAAGATAGGACAAAAGGTCCTTCTGGAAATCAGGTTTGATAACTACACCGTCTACGCTCGGTCCAAAGGCGCTGAGAAAAGTTGGTGGTTGTATGTCGATCTGCATCAATTCCTCAAGGCTGCTTTCTCTGAGGCAATCGACTATCAACTCGTTGTCCTTGAGTAGGTCCTCAGGAATCGTGCAATTTATCGCTCTAGCGAGCTTTAGCGCATAAAAGACGGGATCCTCGACTACAGCCCAAGAAGACAATGCACTGCCCGAGAGTAGTATCGCCCTTTTGAAAAGACCTGTATCGAGAAAGTAAATCGTACCTTTTTTTTTTTGTTTCTAATTTAGATTTAATCGTTTTATTCCACACGATAAATTACATCATTGTCATAGAATCTAAAAGATTCTATTAAATAGAAATATAATTAAATTATATATGACGATAAAATTAATATTGATTACTTCTTATATCCATATTGAGAATTAAAAGAACAATTGTATTGTAACTATATCGAATGTCTTTCAAATGATTTAAAATGATATGAAAAAAAAAAAAAAAAAAAAAAAAAGAAATGGATCGTCGAATTAATTTTGTGGTATATAAAAGTGATTTGGTTAAGATAATCGAGTATTTACGAGAGATTACATTTGATCGATTATTTTAATTATAACTTCGTAAAATTAATTTATAAATGATCATTTGTCGATATTAATCATATTTTCTGACAAAATTGTTCTTTTCTTCCTTTTTGTTTTGGTACCCTTGCATTAAAAAAAAAAAAAAAAAAACTAAAAGAAAACAAAAAAACAAAAGAAATAATAGAGAAAAAAAAGACATCATCTAATATTTCCTAATAATAGAAAATATTATGAATAATTTGAAAACTTTTCTCTCTTGCCGAGAAATTTTATTCTTTTCATGATCGAAAAAAGATAGGCGTAAAATCTGTACACGTTTGCTCGACGATATGTTAAAATACAATGTCTGTGAGAAGGGATGACAAGGTCAAGAAGTAAATATATTTTTCTCGATAACGATGACGTAAGAATCTTGATGACGATTGAGAGAAAATCAAATTTATCGTCTGACATCAACGAAGTTAAAGGAACAATGTCATGTTCTTGGCTATTTCGATTTTCAGAATATTGGAAATTCAGAATAACAAATCCTTAAGCAGATTTCTTAAAACTCGGAAGAAAATGATTGAGAGAATGAAAAGAAAGATCAGAATTTAAATATGTCACAATGAACTTTTTTAAATACTGAATTTTTTTTCTTTTTTTTTTTTTTTTTTATAATATTAAAATTTATTCGAGCACTTCCAAGAGCCTTGAAAGATGATTATCATTGAATAGAATAGAATTCGTTTTGAATGGATACTTAAACTTTTACAACAAAATATAAAAACTTTAGTGCTTGATTTTTAATACAAGAGTTTCATTGAAAAAGAATAAATTCGATGTTTGACCATACAATGGTACAATAATGCCTTTCAAATAAGTTTTCCAATAGCGTGGCGCTAAAGTTATCACCATTAATTTTTAAATTCGACTCTCTTTAATTTTTTTTTTTATTTTTATTTCTTATTTTTCTTTTTTTTCTTTTTTTTTTTTTTTAGATTTTTAAGATCGAAATTATTTTTATATACCTGATATATGTACGTGGAAGAACATGCATCGTAGGATAAGAAAACTCATATATATATTTATTTTTGAAAAATAATTATAGATATTTAATTAATATAAAATCATAATTATATACATATATATGTATATATATATATATAAAATTATGTATAATTATATTATTATATATACGTTCAATATGATAACTGATATAATGTATCAACATAATTCGATCAATTGCTTAGAATATTTTATAAGATATATATATATATATATAAAGAAAAGGTTATAAAATTCTAACAATAGAAAATATTATTGGCAATTTGAAGAATTTTCAATCTTTCTTTTTTGAACGGTAATACGGTAAAATTCGATGAACGAAGGCACGTGTAGCTAGATGGTTGGTAACACGTTGCCCTTTCGATATTGCTCTCATCTTTCTTAACATCTTCATCGAGAAACGAACGAACACACTCACTGTGGTCGAGTTCACGGTTAACATTTTCGAGGTAGCGGGACTTCCTGATCGCGTTAGACTCACCTCTTGGAAAAAGAAGAGGATATCGAATCCTTGTAAGATCTTGATTCTGTTCTCTCCTATCGCGATATTATGTGTGTGAAATATTACTCATCTCTATCCACTCTTTATTCTCTCTCTTCCTCCTTCTCTCTCTCTTTCTCTCTCTCTCTCTCTCTCTCTCTTTCTCTCTCTTCTTATTCTTTTTCTTTCTTTATCCGTATGGTTGCCATCGAACTTTTCCTTATCTCATCTCTATTGGAAAATACTTTTACCTATTATGAAAGCGCACTCGCGCGTGTACGATCTTTATCTTTTTTTTTTTCTTTCATCCCTATTCCGTTCCTTTCATTTCCTTTTCTTTTAGTATTTTTTTCTTTTCATTATCTTTTCCTCTTTCTCTCTTCCTCTCTCTCTCTCTCTCTCTCTCTCTCTCTCTATCTTTCCTTTTTTAATCTCTTTATCATTCTCTCGCATTTTTCGACGCAATCATAATAGTTTTTCAGATTAAGGAAACGTTTGTTTCAAAAGAGATATCAATGTATCATTTTCTTTCGAAACTTTATTCAATGATTATGCCTGTCTTCTCTTTCTTTTTTCTGACGTTATTAAAAGTATACGGGGTAAGCGGAATAACTTCGATCACTTTTATACTTAAGTAGTTTGAAAATTTCGCAAACTTGAAGGAACGAAGAGAGAAAGAAAAAAAGAGAGAAAGAGAGAAAGAGACAGAGACAGAGACAGAGACAGAGACAGAGACAGACATAGAGACAGAGACAGAAAATTGAAACACTAGCTTGCTAAAGGTATACTACAATGAACTTGTAGTTTTTTAACGTTAATTATATCGGAAAGAAAAGAAGAGAAAAGAAAAAGAAAAGGAAAAAGAAAAAATTTTTTAAAGTTTATTAATGAATAAAATTGTCAAGAATTGTCAGGGGTTTTAATTAATTACGTTAAAGAAGAAAGATGAAAGTTCGATTAAAGTAATACAAGGTACTATCCAAGTCACGTTTATTCAAATTAAAATAAAATAATATTTTAATGATATCATTATATCTTTGATATATATAATAATATAGTATTTTTGAGATCAATAGTAACATTTGTCTGTACGTCTACTTACTGTGCAACTCTATGAAACAATCTCCTTTCTTTATCTTTCTCAAGGACATATAACTCCGTTCTGCTTTTTCCTATGAAATCCGATTTCTTCGATACTTGGAGAGCTTTCCGATCGAGACGAAAGGCTTTGTGCCGAACAAAGCGCATTATTTCGTTACGAACGTGAAATCGAACTGTCGCGAAAGACATTTCACGAAAGAAATTTTTGACGATGTAAAATGAGACAAGAAATTCTAGTAGCAAGTAACAAATTTTGAAATTTTTGCTTTCCATATTCTTTTAGAAAAATAATCGATTGACCATAGGGGAAAAATTATTAATGGTTTCATCTTACTGATATTACGTAATAACGTAACTCTCTTTCTCTCTCTCTCTCTCAACTTTGTATAACTTTTATATAATATATTACATTATATTATATTATAAGAAAAATTATTGTCTGACCGAACGTTACATAGTTTCGAAGGGAATGTTGTTTATCAACATTTTTCTATAGTTTCTCTCACATTGTATTCATTTAAATGAATTTTAAATGAAATATTTCACATTTCGTTTTCTTTTTTTTTTGTTATGAAAATTCCAAAGAATATTAAATTCTAAATAAAAATGTATGAATCTTTATTGATTTTAAATTTGTTAAGAGTTATCGAATTATTTTATTTATTAAAAGATAACAGCTATGACATATTATCAAAATTACTTAACTATGTGATACGTATACGGATCAATATAGGGTTAATATTATTATTCGTAACAATATTCAGTTGAATTCATTTGTCAGAATGTTTCCGTCTATCTTTCGATCTTTTTAATTTATATTTCAACCCATTCTTTTTTTCCCATTCTTTAGAGGAATACATATTTACGTATTAAATTCAAATCAATAACGTAATAAAAGCGATAAATATCACGATATATTTCATGATACTTCATATTTATTTGAGATTGTGTCTTTAAAAACGAAAAAAGAAAAAATAAATAAAACGAAATTGTTATAAAAATAATATATATATATATATTATATAGAAAATAATTGTAATTAAAATGTAAAATAATTATATTGAAATAAAAAAGAAAAGATTTTACCTCTTATGACGGTTGGACTAATAGCAAGAAAATGGACACAAGCAGCTCCTGTACCCTGTCCCATGAGGCTAACGTTTTCGGGATCGCCGCCAAAAAGTGCAATGTGCTGTTGGACCCAGTGTAAAGCCGCGATTTGATCCATCAGACCGTAATTCGCCACCCTCGCCTTCGTTTCAGGCGCCACGTTGGCGTTCAGGAAGCCTAGCACGCCCAGCCTGTAGTTGATCGTCACGATCACTTGCTCGGTATAGCTGGCTAGGACGCTACCGTCGTAAGGATTTCCGCTCCCCCACTCGTAGCTTTCACCGTGAATGTAAAGGACAACCGGATGTCTCCTACCACTTTCCGCCATGCCTGTAACACAAAAGCGAACTATGCTTGATTCGAAGTCTCTTTCTCTCTCCTTCTCTCTCTCTCTCTCTCTCTCTTTCTCTCTCTCTCTCTTTCTCTTTCGTTCGCACACTGCTTTGCTTCGATTATTACCAGAAACGGCCATTTACATCGCTGGATATTCAACTCGATGTTGAATGCGATATATATATATATATATTTCAGCTTTATATATATATATATATATATATATATATATATATATAGAGCTGAAAATTGAATGGCTTTTCAACGGTACGATTTATATTTTTAGTATTATATATGATATAGTTTATATAGTAGATTTTTAACAGTGAGTTCATTCGAAGGAAAATATATAGAAAGGTATCATTTGTTTAGGAAATAGAATAAGATGTTATTTATATACAATTTGCACGTCAAAAAGCTGGTTAGAGGAAGAGAAATTCCTCTTCCTCTTCGTTGTTCCATACAACGAGCCGCATCGTTTCACGTTTGAAAAGCAAGATTGGAGTTCCCTTTGACAATGCATCATGACTGCATGACGGAATCCGAAGAGTTCACTGTAACTTTTCTATAGGGTTAGACGTAAGGTCAACATCCTGCTTTGTTTTTGGAAAAGGCTTCTCTATTTTATTTTTACTCTTTATATGTATATATACTCTCTTTATTTCTTTCTTTTTCTTTTACTCTTGCTAATTCTTTTTTTAATTCAATAGAATTGAATACAATTCTCCATTGAAATATTTATTTCAAATATATACTATATTTAATTATTAGTCTCGAAGTCCGTGAAATAATACCAACTTTATATTAAGAATACGATGTGATAATATAAAGAAATAATAGAATTTTATTTCTCTAATTATTATGAAAATATAAATTTCAAATGTCATTACGAAAAGTTGGATACAGTTAAACAATATAATATTTTATTTCAATTTTTCAATCAAACAAACCTGATAAGTAATTATTTTGTTTTTTCAGTATAATTTTGTTTGATTCTCTCAATATAATTATTTTATTTCCTCAATATTTTTTCAATAATCAATAATCTTTTTTTGCATATATATACAAAAATATATATGCAAAATTTTATATATATATATATATATATATATATATATATATATGCAGTATATGTATATATATCGTGTAAATAAAAAAATGGATGGAATATTTATTATTGAAAATTATATAAATCGCATATTTATTGAAAATTATAAATCGCACAATAGATTTGGCATTCATTCCAGTCTATGCTTTTTATTATGCGTATCTATCGCTTTATACGCATTGTAACTTCCTATTGAGCGATTTCAAGCTTCTAATTCGTAGGACATAAACATAGGAATTGGACCAACTGGCAAGTTTACGATAGGTAGTTGTAGCTAAATCCTGATTAACATATCGATTTGCATGGACAGTCCCGAGGACTCCGAGGTTCGCGATAAAGCATCGTATTTTGAGCAGAAGACGTGATACCGTTTTCCCTCGATTAGCGAGACCGGATTAGTATACTAATTCGTTTTATCTATGTCCAAATGTTTGTATGTTCGTAATATACATACACATATATACATACATACATATACATACATACATATATATACATATATATATATATATACATATATATATATATATACATAGATATATATTTATATATATGTATGTATATATGTGTATACGTACGGATTGAAAAAAAAAAAAAATTAAAAAAAAAAAAGGAAAATAAAAAAAAAATAAAACCAGAAAACAAAAGAAAAGAGAACGAGTCGATAAATCCGGATGCTGGGATGCGTGAATGTCGTGTCGTATGTTCTTTCGAATTTATGCAACATCGATGAAAGCTCCGTCGAAAGCTTCGACAAATTGAACCCGACGGAAAAACATAGAGGGCTGATAAAAGCCCGTCGCGTTTTGTAGCCAATAGACTCGATCGCATTCGAATGCGCATTTCGAATTTTGGAATCTCTCGCGTGAACTCGTATCTGGCTAGTACGTATGCCTCCACCTTTTTTTTTTCCACCTTTTTTTCTTCTTTTCTTTCTAATTCTCTCACCTAAAAATCGTAAAGCTCTAACAATATTTCTTTTTTTCTTTTCTATTTTCTTTTTTTTTTTTTTTTTTTTTGTTTACAATCAATTTTATTGAGAAATAACAGTCGAAAGAAGTATCGAAAAAGATGATTATTGCGTTTAAGATTTATATATCTCTAATTATATTCTCAATTGATTCGATTAAATGACAACAGTTATAAAGAATAATTAAAATTTTTAATAAAATACCTCAATTGAGAAAATATTGTCGGTTATTGCAAGATTCGCAATAATCGACAATCTCACTAATCTCTTCCTTTCTCTCTCTCTCTCTCTCTCTCTCTCTCTCTCTCTCTCTCTCTTTCATTCAGAATTAGTTTAAATGTATGAACAAAAGGCGTGATAAGGATTTGCTTTTCTTTTCGGATTTTAATTAACTAAAGTGCTAAGGGTCTCAAGGTAAAAGGAAATTCCTGTCGTAGGCAAGAAATGCTATACGAATTCGTCGCGAATGACAAGGGAAAAGAGAGGTACAGAAATTTGATCAGCCATTTGTACGCATGGAGACTATTTTCGAGTCAGTCCATTTTATGCCTTATAGTGCTCTTTTTCCCTCTCTCTCTCTCTCTCTCTCTCTCTCTTTCTCTCTCTTTATTTTTCTTTCTTTTTCTCTTGTTCTCTCTTTTTGCGAGAAGAGATAGAAGATTGTGACCGAAAAAAGAATAGAAAGAATCCAGAGAACGACTGGCTTTTGAAAATAGACAGAAATTTTGCAAGAGATAACCAGAACTTTCGCGCGGTATAGTTCTTCTTTCTTTATCTTTTTTCTTTCCTCTCTTTTTTTTTTTTTCTTTTTTTTTATAACTCACTTTCAACGACTAATCGAAGGAAAAGAAAAAAGAAAAGGAAAAAAGATAGAAAAAAAGAAGAAGAGAATCATATAGACTATTAAGAGAAAAAAAAGATGCAAAATATGTGAGGAGGATGGAAAATTGTGAGTACAATCGAAAATACGATAGTTTCGTTGAGGAAAATTAAAAAAGTCTATGTGAAAGGAAAAAGTAAAAGAGAGTGATAAATGAGAAATCGAAGTTGTGGGAGGATAACTTCGACGGCAACTTTAAGCTTCGCTCGACGTAAAAGCCATTGTCGTTGGGATTAAGGTATTAGTTTGGAATATCGTTCCTGGACCTGCCCATCTCTCTTGAACGAAGGCTCTAGGAAGTATCGTATAAGTTCGTAAGTACTTATATGTAGGTACTTACATACTATATGTATTGTGCACACAGATGCACATGCCACGCGTTCGTTCGCCGTTCTACGATAAATGGAGCGAACCATTTTTGATCGCTTTCACGTAAAACGTGAACACCAACGAATAATCGATTAAGCTATCTTAACTTGCTTTTTTACTTTAAGGTATATAAATTCTATGTAAGTTGATGTATCTGTATGTTCTGATAAATGTTCTTATATGTATACATGCATGCATGTAAATGTATCTGTATATTATACATGCGTATATATATATATATATATATATATATAATATATTTACAGATGTATATATATATATATATATATATATATATATATGTAAATTTATCTGTACACTTTGATAAATGCAGGCGTATATACATATATATCTATGTAGACATACATCTATCAAAATATACAAATAATTTGCAAATATATATGTATGTATACATATAGATACATCTGTGTGTATTATATATATATTTTTTTTATTATATATATATATATATATATATATATACATATGAATAAAAAGTTTCTCGTTATAGAGGATATGACAGTAAGTTTATAAAGTACTTCGCCAACAAGGTACTTACCTGATTAAGACCTTGGTATAATTCCACGAGGAGTAGAGTTGGTCAAAAGATACCAGTGGTAAAGGAAAGTGGAAGACAGACAGAGAGAGAGAGAGAGAGAAAGAGAGAGAGAGAGATAGAGAGATAGAGAGAGAGAGAGAGAGAGAGAGAGAGAGGAAGAGAAACCAAAGGAGTATCTCTCGGTAAGAGTAAGTTTAGGTATCTTAGTTATATCGAAATGATGAAACGCGCGTCTCGTGAACCTCCTCTTAGAAGGAGAATCTCAAAGTGGACCCAGCTGCAATGGTGAAAACTCCAAGAACGCAAGTTCTCAGCAAGTAGTTTTTTCTCTCGAAGGAAATTTCGCGCTGATAAATGTAAAAAGATCGAACGCAAGTCAGCTCGAAAAAGAGTTTGGATCGCATTCGCTAATATTGAGAATCCCGTATAGCGACTCTCTTGTAAAGATCTCTTGCGAACGTTTTTATCGATAAAAAAAAAAATACACGATGGAAATCTAAGAAAGTAAGTACATATTGGATATTCTTATCAATGTACAATATATATATATATATATATATATATATATATATATATATATACTTTAGATATGTATGCGTATACACATGTTAGAGCGAAGCCTTTATGAAAGATGATGCATATGTCAAGATATCACGCGAGAATGGTTTATGTTAGTTTGAAGGGTCTCGCTTCTGATAATAAAAAGTTTAATTCTATCATGGATTGTTTAGATTCAATAATATTTATGCGCCCAGAAATGCATCATTATTGTAGGATACACATATCCAAACTTAACCTATGTTGCATTAAAGAAATGCAAATATGTGCAATTGCGCGGTGATCGAATGGTATGATAATACGTATCACGTGTATCACGTGTAACTTGGAAGATATGAAAAAATTATGAACGAACCAGTGCGGTTAGTGTGAGTGTATTTGATTAGAATATTTTATTCCAAGAGGGTAAATAAAAAATTATCTATGAATAAATACATGCAACTGGATGAACACTTAATAAGTGATAAGGATTAAAAGAAGGAAAAAAAAAATAGTATTACAATTTCTAAGAGATTTCTTAATAATATATAATATGGCTTTATTTATATTTTTT